CACTGCACAGACATCAATTGTATCGGTTGTATTACCGAACAAGGTTTCTATCTTTGACAAGCCGGACCAATATCTATCGCCCTCTGGAGACAGTCCCACTGAAGAGCACCTTCACGCTCCCCGACCATCGCTTAGGCCTCACTCGGACGCGTACCTTAATATATTGGACCATGGTATTCTTGACCTTATCTTCGTGGTTGGACAACTGTTCTGGATGTAGGGATCCTCAATAATACATAGACACACATACCTCTCAGTCCAAAAGATAATGGAAGCATTTAAGTATAGATTGCGACCCGCGATTCCTCCCTCACTCCTAATTTTATTAAATTATTTAAAAATCTAACTATTTATTTTCGCCTGCTCCGCTTAACTCAATATTTATTGCTATTATCCAGCTACTGATTATTCTTATTCTCATTACGTTTCAAAGTGGAATCGCTCACTGGTCTAAGAAAAGTTTGTATTATATAAGTCGACAGACTTGCCCATACTGGATTTCAAGTTATGTAAATGTAAGTTAGATTTTTTTCTTATCTAAATTTGAACTACTTGAATGAAAAACACGTTACTAACACATCGTTCCGAAATATTATAATTTTTCTCTAATAAATTCACCTTATCCAATTTCGCACCACCCACTGTTGCCACTCCGAACAAACTCAAATAAGAAATATCACAATACAATAAAAGTCATGACTTCAGCACAATTTTTACAACACATTCACACAATTCATTATTTAACCGATATCTATTGCTTTCTCTTTGCCAAACTACCTCCGATTCTCTTTTATGAATACTCCTTATATCTAAATGTCACACAACTTGGTCTTCCTGCATGAAATATTTAATTGTTTGTCCACTTTCCTTTTGGCTGCCCACTGCCTTCTTGGTCGATGAAAAGCGTGGAAAGCTCCTTCCTGCATCCATTAACTTCACACCGTCTTGTTGCTTCAAAGCGATTCAATTTATAATTTAAATCCGATTTTCTAAAAAAAATTAAAAAACTGCCGTTCTCTAAAATTCTATTCACTCAACTAATTAATAATTTGCGTACTTGATTATATCTTCCGATCCTCTTTCCATTAGTTCAACCACAACAAATTATTCAGCAAATGAACTGCGTTGCCGGCTCTACGTCCGAACTCTACCACCGTCAAGCACACTCTCCTACGCAAATCACTAAGCTCACCTTTCAACTGTCTCCTCCTTACCGATAGATACTCGATTACGTGTCTCCTTGCTAACTACTGCGTATCATCTTTAATTGTCGAGCACACATTCTTCTTTCCATTGCTTGTCACTTCGTACACTTACTATATTGGTTAATATTTGATATATGCCATTTTATATTTATTATTATAAATGTTTAAATTAGAAAAAATCTCACGCATCCCAATATAAAACTTGTACACTTTATTTTTCTCACGACGGAAAATTCCTACTCTCGCCTCTTTTATTTATATTTTATTCTTTCGCCCATCTTGACTTCTTTTGTTCTTTTTCAAGTATTTATTTTAACCCTTCGTGATGATCCCTACATAAACCTGCGTAACCCAATGTAATACACGAGGGAAATGGAATGCCCCCAATGGAATGTCACAATCAACTTAAAACATTCATGCCTTAAGCAGATTCGAACCCAAAGCCTTAGTGATCAAGTAATATATGGGCTCACATGCCCGAAGCCCAGCCTCACGCCGAATCACATGACCGTAGTGTATGTAAACCTTTGACTCTTATGTAACAATAATAATTTTCTCAAAATTAAATAACACCACACCGTATATTGTAGAACATAATATTTTCGGTTCGTATTAATTAACGCACAGTTTACTTTCATGTAATATTTAGAGTAAATACATTTTTACTTTCTTGCAAATTCGCAATTGTTTTCATCATAAAAACTGTTATTGAGAGGCCTTGATATCGAAAAAGTGGATGTAGCAAACTTCTTTTCATGTATTATGGAATTAGAATGTACGTTTTCTGGGTCCTTCGAGCCCGTGTCTGTCCGTATGAAAGGTAAGGGCCTAAATCGTTGTGACAATTTTCCTCAAAATTGATATTCCCTCATCGATTTTACTTATGTCGCGGGCCCTTGAATTTGTAACGGTTATTTTTATTTTGGGGATACTTTACGTAATGTCTTAATACTTTCAAATGTTTTTAACTGCTCTAATGGCTTCGTTTTTTTTTATTAAGGGTTATCCTCAGGAAGAGCAAAGAACGCTTAACAAATGGTGCAGATATCATTTTCGTTGAAATCTAAATTTTCGAAAGTTGAAGAAGTTCATTCTTTGTATTTCAACGGAATGTGATGGTTCAACTGAGTGCGGGAATTAGCCACGTCATGCACGAACATCAGACTCCTCCAATTTTCTCAAGTCATTTTTCTCTCATTAATTGTTCATACCAATATATTTAGTATATTTATTTTTGTTCTTACGTGCTTTAATATTTTAAACATTTCATTTGTATTGTTATATACCTACTGAAGATACGAATGGGTCCCCGAAAGTTGCCTCTGGGCAATAATATTTTAATAAAACTTTGATTTGTTAAGGTTCCATTATTTCTTAATTCGTATCATGGAGTACCACAAGATATCTGCTACCACCACTGAATTTGAATATGTTAATATACAACAGATTAATAAAAATGCAGATTATTTTGTTTTCAATCATTATTGTTATGAAATATTTCTGTACTCCGTTTCATAAAATGTTTCAATGTAGTTTGCGACAAAAGAAAAGTCTCAATATATTTTAATTCTTCCCGATGATTGGAAAGACGTTAGATTTTTATTGAATAGAGCATAGGTTTTGTGGTGTGATATCTTTGGCATTTTTCATAAAATAATTAAAGACGTTGTCATTGCCAACAATATTATTTAATGCAATAGCAGCTTTCGATGGCTTAGCCTTCATCATCAGTTGTCTGCTGGATGGAAGCCACAAAAACGACTACGACTACGGGTAGTCGTTTTTGTGGCTTCCATCCAGCAGACAGCTGATGATGATGATGATGGCTAAGCCATCGAAAGCTGCTATTGCATTAAAAAATATTGTTGGCAATGACGTCTTGAATAGAGCAGTTAAGATAGCGGTGTTTCACAAACATTTTGTTATTCGGTTCCACAATTCATCCAACATCATCTACGGTGGCTAATCAAAGTGGTTTGTTGAAGTTAACGTTTACAAACACGCAGGGAAATGAACATCGCACAAAAAATAACGTCTGAATCAAACTATGAAATCTCTGATATCTATGTAACCTACAACATATAAAAAATTGCTACCCATGAAACATCTATGAATGCTTTTGAAAACTAGAAAGTTGAACCAACTAACGCAAATTCCACAGTGAAAGGGTGGATAATTTACTCTTTGTTATTATGGAGTGGTAATATGAGACTCCTACTTTATCCTCAATATAACTTGTAGTGAGGGAAAACTGGAAGATGTAATAAGTTTGCAGCAGCAATTACATAAAATACTAAAGAGTGGTGGCTGTCTGTTATGTAATTGGCAATCCAATGACAACGAATTATTAGAAGATTTCGAGACTTAGAATAGAAAAGAAGCCTTGCTGGTGTTATATAAAAATGATGCTTGCGAAACACTTCAACTACTATGGGACTTTGTTCGTGAGTGTCTTCAATTCCGAGTAGAGAGCCAGCTCCAAACACCACAGACCAAAGAAATGTTTGATCAAAGATTTCCCAGGATCCTCCAAGACCTATTTAGGGTTGATAAAAGGAAATTTTCAAATGCATCTCTTGTAAGCAGGTAGCAATGAAACTGCGTAAATGAAGCCTCTGAGGTAAATTCAAATCGCCTGTTTCGACACCCAAAAAATATGTCCTTACTCCGCTAGTTGGAGAAAGAAGCGTAGCGAAATTTACATGGTCAGACGGAGAATCACGTCTCATGGCCTGAGTCTCGCCACGTAAAATAAGGCATCAATTCAATTCCATTCCTCGCGGCCGGCTTCAACGCCGGCAAGGAAAAAAACATTCTCCAACGCACCACACCGCTGAAGTACCTGGGTCTCTGGCTCGACCCGACGGAGAAGACCCTTGCGGTGGACGCCGGATATGTTCGTGCGGTTGCCGCCTTTCCGGTACCTTGGTTACTCTTGCACCGTTTTCGTCTGTCTCTCGAGGACATGATTGGGTGGCTGTTGCTTGCCGCGACCGCCTCCTACCCACTCGCCCGCACCGTCCAGGTACCCCCTCCCCATTACCATTCGTGCGCCGCATCCGCCCGCTCATCGTACATCAACACTCCCACTCCCACACACACACACGTGCCGGGCATCACCGTTTTTTCCGACATCAGCCTGCTTTATTGCGCCTTTGTTTCAGAAGACCGTGATATCCAATACGCTTGAACACCCCGAAATGGTCAAAACATATATAAAATGGAACTCGAAGCTACGTTTTGTGCTATATTGTATTCTTTTTTAAATTTTAGATGTAATCTTTATCTTGATAATGCTGCCGCAGTATGTAATCTGAACAGGAAAGTTCGTCATGTAAATGATGTAAGGCACCTGATGTTGGCCCATGTAGGTTATACTGAGTATACGGTGCGGCGGGGTCGGCAAAATTTGAAATTGGCGCGCACGCGGGGGGGGGCGCGTCTCGCGGTCACCACTTCGAGATGAGCAACCTCCGGGACCGGAGGCGAAGGGTAAGTCACCGGTGTGACTTCGCCAGTACTATTCGTACAAAAGGCGGCGGCAAGGGCTGTCAGGCAGTCAGTCTACACCAGTCAGTCGATCCTTCAGCCAGTCAGTCGAGGAGTCGGCGAGTCAGCTAGCCAGTCAGTCCGCCTGCCGGCACACGTTGCACGAGAGGGAAGCCGGGCAGCCCAAGAGCGTCCAGGAGCCGGGCGTGAGAGAGCTGGGGGAGCGAGATTGACACGACCGGCAACGCGAGGTCGCAGGTGACGTGGGAGACTCACCGCTAGGCGTATCCCCGGCACCGCAGGCAGATGGTGCTATGCCAGGCCCAGGGTGGCCCCGTTTGTATCGCGCTCAGCCAGAGCACGGGGGAGAACAGGGAGGAGGTGACTCGCCGTTTAGAAAGGCTGCAGCAAGCGACTGCAAATAAAGGTGGAATAAAGTATTGTTAATGTTGATGACCAACTATTATTTACTGAACACTTCATATACCTTTTGCCAATTCAATGCTGTATGGACACCTTCGGAACAAAATGAAGCAGACACCCCCCCCTGTGGCGGTCTGCCTCATGCTGCTCCTAGCCAATGAGAAGCCGGCGATGCGCGTCACCGCACAGCGCTGGCCTCCTATGGCGGAGGGGCAGTATGATCAGTCAAGGCTGAACCAGGGACCAGGATGGGTCAAGAACTCCATGTGTCTACCGCGTTTCTTTAATCAGTGTTTAGGTTTATTTGATGTGTTAATACACCTTGTATTATTATTATTATTATTATTATTATTATTATTATTATTATTATTATTATTCGCGTATGGTTCACTACTGATCACGTAACACATTTCTTTCTCCGAGGTGCAGTTGTATTCTCTCCTCGAGAGATCAACGTGTGGAATTATGAAGATCAGCCGTTCGGCTGCATCCCTTGGTTAAGACAAGGTTGTTAGCCTAGAATATCAATTAGGGCGGGGTAGGATGATGTTAATAATAATAATGATAATAATAATAACAATAATTATTATTATTAATATTATAATAATATATAATATTATATATAATATAATAATTTTATTATTGTTTTTATATAGGGTAATGATGAGGGGTTAAAGGACTAGGATGATAACGGGAAGTGGGAGGTGTTTGTAGGATTTTCGAATTATCTCAGTATCCGCAATCAGGGTAATTTATATATATATATATATATGAGTGTTATTCGTTTTTGTTTTTTTTACCGCGCGCGATCCGGCGCTCATGCCCCCGAAGCGCTGCCCTGGTCGGCCAGCAATCCGTGTCCCGCGAGATCCCCCGCGCCCACCAGGCCAGCACCGCCAGCCCTCGCGCTCCACATCCTCAGGCGCCAGAACTACAAGCTCTCGCCTGCCGCTTCCAACAGATTTCGCGTCTCCGTCACGCGCAACTACGGCGGACGCCACGCAGCCGCCACCACCCACGCCTGCTTCGCGGACGCCCTCCGCCCCCTCCCACTGGCAAGGTGTGAGCCTGAGCAACCCGAGTTCGATCTAGAACGGGCCTCGGACTGGGTCTCTTTGCACGCGGACCACACGGCGAGGCCGAAGAGGGGCCAGATCGAGACGCGTCTGCTGACCATCGTCCTCAGTTTGGCCAGCTGCCAAGGGATGAACCACGTTCCGTACGCGAGCGTGTCAGTCTCCTCGTCGTAGCAATCAAGCATGCGTGGCGGATGGCCGCCACCAACGCATCAAACTGCGATGATTTTGCCTCAACCATCGCAGCCACCACACGCCGCGGGACACCATGCGGTCGGTACGTTACGCGCGTATAATGAATTATAATGAAACCTGCAGAAACCGTCACCTCCATTAAACGTGCACATCCAATAACAGCAATTTTTTTCGTGGAACCGATTGATTATCCTTTAAGACACGTTTAAATGTGACGTCTTTTCAGCGGCCGACGCTGTGATCAGCAGCCAGACACAGTTCGTAGATTAACTTGTATTCGACAGTCACAATTTCCTGTGGATTCGCAATTTTGATCCGGAATGCTATAAAAATACGAAGATCGGTGGATATTGCTGTATATTCAGAATCCTCATGGATCGGGTAGCAATGTTACTTGATATAGAAGTGGTCTAGAGTTTTTATTTTGTGGAATGATTTCAGTGGGTTTCTGATAACAAAAAAATTATTTTAATAGATGCTCTGAAATATCCTGAGTGAGAACTGCAGCTTCAAGTCTAGTTGGGAATAAAGTTAACGAATGGAAAGAAAACTAATGGTGCAACAAAAACCCGTAGTTTCTCGCATTATTTCTAACTTGGAAATATTGGAAAATTCAATGAGCTCAAAGAAAATGAAACCTGTGACTTTCTTTTGTGTCCCTGCTTCTATCCGTGTAAAAAATGAAGGAGAAATGTGAACTGGTTTTTGAGATTTTTTCTTATAATTTGCATTAACTTCAAACGAAAATTAGGAGAAAGCTACTCGTTTTTAACAAAACATTGTACGTGAGTTTTTTTAAAGACCTATTTTTTAAAATATTTAATTTAAGACAAAAATCTCCTTCTTCATTATTGTACTTTTGGAATATTCACTTTTTGCAATGTTGATAAATACAGAGAGTTCGCCGAAAATGAGACCAGCAAGTTTTTTTACCATTTGATAACCATTTGATACATAAGATGAGAAAATTTAAAGAAAAAATTGAAGTCGTTTTTGAGCAATTAATTGTTTAAAAATTGCCTAAATTTTACTCAAAATTAATCGAAAAGTACATATATTTTTGAAATAATGTACATGAACTTATTTCAAGATCAGACTTTCGACATCTGATTTTATCCAGGAAAAAACTCTCTATCTTCAATATTATAGTTGAAGAAAGACGCCGATAACAATTTTGTCCCTGGCAACATCAGGGATTTTAAAGACAAAGAGATCTCCCATTCTTTGAAGTGCATTTTACAGTATCCAAGGACAAAGTTTAATAAAAAAGAGTGCAGTCATGTTAGAGAAAAGTTTGGAACTACAATCGAGGCCTTGTTTTTGCAGATCAGTGATGAAAGCCGTGAACCGCTAATTTTGTGTGCTCATGTCGTTTTTAGAAATTTCCTTTTGCTTCTGTTCTATCATAGCCACTGTTGCAAAGCATTACGGCCATATTTCTTCTCTTTTTTTACTTAGTTTGCAAAAAATTCGTTCATAATCTTCTGTGGAATGTAGAAGGAATTGCGATCTTAAGTCCTCTGTAAAGAAAGTTTGCTTTGCTGGGATATTCACTAGGCGAGATCTAGTAGTTTTTGCCAGGGCTCTTTCAAATATGTGGCTTTTACTTTCTCAAGGGTAGTGAGGTTACTTAATATACGGTGTGGCCAAGTTAACTCTATGCCATACGCCAAAATTGCAACATAAGCACAAGCCGCCATTGCCTCTCTCCGTCATCGTGGAGAGTCTCCGTGCCATTCCCTGTCAATGCGTCGCGGTTCAACAAGGTCAGGAAGTCGTGCATGTTGTGACAAGAGCCAGCCGTGATGTGCCAAAAAATGACTAAAGGAAAACGAGACGACGTGAAGGTCAAAGTTTTCAGTTCGACGCGTAGAGCAAGTTGTTCCATATTTCGCGCCATATCGCCAAGAACATTCCCTAGTGCCGGTCACTATACCCGGCCATCCGGACAGAATGTAAAAACTGTAAGACGAAGAACTCTAATATAAAATTTGGATTAATAACATCGCAAGAAGGAGAGGCCTGTGTTTATGCATTTACCCCACTTGACTCATGGCATTGCGTAGGACTAAATTAAGTTTAAAGTTGTATTCTTGTTCAGTCATTAATAGACAGAAATCAGTATGCACCTCCATTCACTCCAACATTTCAGAGGTGTTGTTCCTGGTGACGAGCAGACAGATAGGTAGGATATGATATGACAGGACATTTATTATGAATTAATCATTAGTGTTATTCTCGGCCGACGAGCCCTCAATGTCCGGGGAACGGTTTAGATTTAGATTTATTCAGTTAAAAAACAGTAAAAACTGTATGTGACGTGGGGATAAAAGATTATGTGTGCACTGAACTTCCCTGAGAAAGCTGCTCAAGGTCTCGCCCTGCAAAAGGCATGCTTTCCAGTCTGGCTGAATAGTCTGTTTATGATGGCTAGCTCGAAGTTCACTCTCAAACAGAAAGTGTTTGTGTATGACGCGTACGTAAAATGTGTCAAACCGTGATGTGCATCGCATCCTGGAGTCTTTCGTGCAAATGCTCAAATGAAGAGCGTGATTACGATTCGTACCGGTTGCGAAGTCCTGTTGAAAATAGCCGTAATTACGCTCCTCATTTGTCAAAGCGAAATTACGCTCTTCATTAGCCCGTTGCGGGCGAGACCTTGAGCAGTGTTCTCCTGGGAGTTCAACGCGCCGATCCCCGGCGATTGAAGGCCCGGCAGCCGAGAACAATTTCCACACCACTAACTATATCATAATAAAATAGTCGCACTGTATTAATTTCAGAGACTATGTCAAGAGTCAGATAATTAAAGAAGGGTGTAAAATGGAAGTAATTAATTTACATTCTTAATACACCCCACCCAGGTGCTCTATGCTCCTCACCCTCTAATAATCCCCACCAAGGTCCTCCCTGTCTGCTCCAGGTGTCCCTGACAGGCCTGCCCTTCTAACCCAGCTTCCCTATGCAGCCCTACTATCCATCCAGTCATATATGTATTGTATTTTTTGATTTATTTATTTAGCCAAAAACAGTAAAAACTGAATGTGACGTATGGGACGTTTTTTTGAGTTTCATAACCCCTTCCCAACATTTGAACTATAAATAGTTGAAAGATGAATAAAAGTTTAAAAAATAATAAGTAAATTAATTAATTAAACTATTTTTTTCAAAAATATTAGTTAAAACCAAATTTTTCCTTGCAGAAGAAAAATATTTGTGTGTCAGTTTATTTTCACTGCTGTGGGGTATAATTTTTACCAGATAAAAAAATTGTAAAAATCGTACAAATTTAACTGCTGTAAGCTATATATACCTCCTTAAGGAGGTATATTGGCACGTGCACAAGTTTTTAATAAACAATCTGGAAATTCATCCAAATCAGATGAATATTTCTTTTTAGTTTACAACCTAGGATTTCCTTAGAAGATGTTCCGGAAAGAAACATCATATCAAAAAAATTTTGGAAAGCTTATGATGTTGAATTTTGCATACATTTGTTTTTCAACAATGTTCTAATTCCTTGTGTGATACAAGTATTACTTTTCCGTAGAATGTTTAATTTCTCTTATTTATTTACATCAAAAGAAAGTTAAAAACTGTATGTGTGGTGCAATGGTGAGAAGTTAATTTCAAGTTACATTTATGTCCAGAAGTAAAACAATGGGCCATCTCAACATTTGCTCAAGGATCAGGAAAAGTGGACGAAAATACAGTTGTGCAGCAGAAAAGATTTTACTTAGGACTTAAACTTTTGTATCGAATTTAATAGTTTAATGTCATCTGGTAAAGTGTTGTAAAATATTGTACATATTGTATGTGAATTTTTTGTAGTGAGCTGACGATACTGTCACCTGATGAATATGATTACTATGTCAAGTGCTGAAAATATATTCCCGCCCTTAAGTAAGTCATTTATAACAAAAACTACTGATTCATATACGAAGAGACTAGGTAATGGTACTTTAAAATTCGTAAAAATTTTTAAATTGCTACTTTGAAATTGATCCTTGATTAAACGTGTGAATTATTATTATTATTATTATTATTATTATTATTATTATTATTATTATTATTATTATTATTATTATTATTGTAGTGGCATGCAGTACTTGAACTCTTAATATTTGTGTTTGTTTAATATCCAAGGTATATACATATGTATGAGATGTATATTTATCCTATTATTATAATTATATTCATTTATTTATTTATACTTATTTTTGTTTTTGTTATTTAAGGTTGCATCAACATCTAGGTCATTAGCAACCACTGGTTTTAACAACGTTATGGGTAACTGTCAACAAGGTGAAATGATATGGTGATGATGGGAGTTGAAAGGACGAACACAAATACAACCATGGCCGAGGCGATACTCAAACTCACTATCTTTCAGTTCAAGATCGCCACTGCCTTAGCAATCTCGGCCACCGGATTGGGTTTAGATTACTTGTTACAAATAGGTACACCATTTTAATTAGGCTATATGAAAAATATAAAAACATCAAGAAGCAAATATAACAAGCTGAGAAAAAGTATGAGATACTAAGCTAATATAATAATCCAATATATCATTCACATAATAAGATAATAACAAATTAAGCAATAGTAAGTACTAGTTCTTGTGATAAACAAGCAAATGATTCAAATAAGCTTTAACAAATAAATGAATTTATTTATTCATATGATAATCACCATTATTCACCAATCACCATTCTAAATAATGAAAAAAAGCAAAATATGTAAAATGTGTGCATATTATCTGTTGCTCGATCTATCATCGTACTCAAAATTGAAACATTCCCAATAGAAAATTTGTAAATACACCTTTTTCTGGTTAAATCCCTGCAAGTTGAATTTACTTTTGTTTTTTTATACAACAAATAAATCAATAGTAAATTTAAATTAAGTTGACAATAAATGTGAATTTGCATGGAAAGAAATATGAACATCAGATCATACATAGTTATACAAAATTTTTCTTACCTAACCATGTAAACACACATGCACACACAGACACACAAACACACTCACAATGAGGATTCTCTTAATGATCACTTGAGAAAAGATCCAGGCAAACAAATCACAACATGTTTCAACATGATACAAACATGTTTCTTTGGTTCCTGAATATGTCCTCGTCAAATAATGAGATTTGGAGTTTTTTCCTGATGCTACTGAAAAGAATTGGAGTTCAAGCATCAAAGAAATTTTAAAGAATGAATACTATAGAAAATCTGGGCCTCAAAAGTAGCAAAAGCATTCAGCTACGTTTGAATAAGGTCTCTTATTCAAAAAATCAAATTTCAAAATTGTTATGAATTCCAAACAAACAGAAAGGCTAATTTTTGTAAGAAATTCTTAAACCAATTTTTAAAGAGAGATACTAGAACAATAGTTTTTATGCATATCCCCAAAAATTTGTAAGTTACCAACATTATGAAAAATACATAAAATATTACACTGTAAGGAGGCTTTTAGAAAATAACTGTACAAAGTCTTTGATGTCACCTCATTTTATGATACCTACTCAAATAATCCTCTGTAACAAGTGTTGATCTTTTGATTAGATTTGACAACTTTCAGATCTAGGAATCATCATTACCTCTGAGTAGTTTTCAAGAAACCTCTCCCTTTTCCATTTCAGGGATTAGAAAGTTGTAAAGTTGTTATTTTCTTCTTAAATATATATAATTTTGTAGTAGTTATTAATTTTTATATTTTTACCTTGAAAGTGGCTCACATGTATTTTTTTTAATAATAGTTAAGTCCTTCAAAGAAATTTTCCGTCTTCCATCTGGAAATCTGTTTTTGCCTGTTTTGCTGATTGACTTTTGACACACAATATTACACTTCCCGCACTTCTTACATCGATTCTTTTGTTTTTTCTCGACCAAAGCGCCACCAAACAGCAAGTGTTCGAACTTAAGTGAAGTGAATGAGAAGGAAAAATTACTATATCAGCTGTCAAAATTGGGGCTGAGGATATGTAAATAACTTATTCCAAGCTGTGTATATGTAAATAGAACTCAAATATATACTTCATACAAGATCAGTGACAGTCATCAGAAAAACAGAAATGTTGCATTCGACATCGCATGGTATAATTCGCGTTTGATTTTCGTCACACTTAACCTAGTAAGTATGTCATTTGAGAAAACTGTTTAATTTCGTTCTCTTTTATTACAGTGCTAACAAAACAACCTCTTCTTTCACCTGGAAGAACGCAAGGTGATGGAATGGAGAGCGAGTCGGAAAGCTCTCCTGAAGATGTATTTCGAAAGAAATCAGAAAGAGGATGTAGTCTAGGGGACAAATTAATTTATAGGCCATCAGATCTTAAGCAGTATTCTTCCACTCCACCGATCATAACTGGAAAGATTGTAAATTTGGTGCCAAAACAAGTTACTCCTGCAAAGAAAGACTCCTCTATTGTTTTGGGATTGAAAGGGAAAGAACCCAAGTTTATTCCTTATGAGCCTTACAAAGCAGCTGTTAAACCAATTATTCCTTTTGACAAAAAGAAGAATCTGGAACGAAAAGTGTCCAAAAAACATGAGCTTCCTATTGTTCCGCCAGTGATACCGAGTGTGGAGAATGGAACTTTAAGTAATTCTTCCCTTAATGTTGACAGTAATACACAAAATGACCAAGGACAAGTTTGGGAAACTGAAAGAAAAGCAATGCAGGAAGAGATTAAGACCTTGAAGGATGAAAATGGACAGTTGGAAAGCCAACTTAAATTTCAAGCTCAGGTACGTTTTAAATAAGTATGTAAACTGGATGTGAATTCTTAGGGGTGCTGCCTCTCTTAACATTGTACCATTCTTCTTTGTGCTTGACAGTTATGCCTCAGCAGAGGTAGAATTGCCGTGCTTTACTGTTGTTGAAACTTGCTTCCTACATGACCTTTTGTTGGCGATTTAAAGTGAATACTTTATTTCACAAATTTTGACAATCGGCTTCACAAATATGTGACGGAAGTGCTCAGCCAGTACAAAGCTTTATTCCCATCATTTATTCATTCTGAGTTTGTGACCACAAGGGTAAATTACATCGAAAATGCTGTTGCTGTTTTGTTTCACTAGGAAACCAGTTGACATCGTCATATGACTATCAAAAGTCAAGCACAAGTTTGGTACAATGAATTAAGTCTAATGTCTTGTTTGAAAAGTATTCCAGGAGCACAATGTATAATTAGGGACCTTATTTATGACTTCCGCACTTTAAAAAGGTTTAATATAATAAAATCGGAAAAGAAAACCTTCCTAAAAACATTCTTAGAATTATTCTTTCAGACTGTGCTATGTAAGCAAAAATGGAAAGTTTCACTTGCCATTTTAAGCCCTAGTTATGAACTTTCTGCCATGGAGAAAATTGCCAATTTGCATTACTAAAACATACTGATTTTTCTGTGTAATTATTACCATTACATGGTGCCTGCTAGGTGAATGGTGAGCTCAAAGCTTTATTGGTAGCAGCAGTGGGAGAAGATTTGGAGACACGGGTACATCTATTGACGGAAGACAAACTGCAACTAGCACGAGCTCTTCTTTCTTCAGCACAGAGATTATCTACTCATCAAGAGCAAACTGAATGGCTTGCTGGTCAATGTGAGGTGTGGCGAAGCAAATTTTTAGCTAGTAGGTAAGCATTATATAGATGAAACTATTTTAAAATTTCTCTTTAATCAGGGAATAAATAAAGTTGTTTATAGTGGGAATTGCTGTTCTTAAGTTTGTATTACAGATGTAGAGAAAGATTTAGTAGGTACATTTGTCTTTATTACTCTGCTGAGCTTATTTAAGTGAATAAAAAGTGGAAGAATTAGGAAAGTGAAAATTGACTTTCGTTCTTCCTTTTTTTGTTTTGTTAATTCTGGTCATTTGTCTGGAGTATTTGTTGATGTTCTTTTCTTGTTAAAAGCTAGCAATTTAACCTTGCTGGGTTCATTTGTGAGGACATATTATGTATTGCCAGTATATAATCAAATAATCCTGGAAATGCCATGGTACACCTTATGCAAATTTGATTGATATTGGCTGACAGTCTCATTCTCCTTATTTAAAAAATGTAAATTTAGTATTTAATTAAATGTTACAAGTTGTGTTAATGGTTTAGAGAGTTTCTCATATTAATCCTTAATATTTTTGCATACTTACTGCACTGAGCACTAGGTTACATTATTAGTATTTGCAGTTTTGTCTCATCATACAGTAAATGTCTGTTGACTATTTATAGTCTCATGGTAGAAGAGCTGGCGAAGTGGAAGGCTGCCCTTGGTCAGCGAACAACTGAACTACAGGAATCCATGAAACGGCTTCTAGAAGAGCGCAGCCTGATGCGAGATTCACTTCTTAATGCCTACAGGTATGTTTCTCTATTTTAGCTACTGACTATAAAGTTGGAGAGTTGGTGATGTGTAACACTTTCAGTCCAATTACATCACTCTCTCTTTGCTTTCACTTTGATTGCCTTAGATTTTGAAACTACTGTACTGCCTGTTAATAGCCACCAATGCTGGCCTCATGACTTTTTCAAGTCTTAATTAATTAACATGTGGTTCTGAAGAATTAAATTAATTAATTAATGTGGTTATGTTTTCAAAAAAGGGATCCTTCTCTCTCACTGATCTTAAAGTGATCTCTATTTTTTCTTGAAAATTGCCCAATGAAAAATTCAATTAAAAAAAAAACAAACTTTACAGGGCAAATACAAAATGGGGGCTGCTGAACAGAACGGAAATATAATTCTTTTAGCTATCACTGTACAAGAAATTTTCTAGATTGTAATAGGTACTTCAACTAATTAAAATTTTTATTTCAAAATTCTAACATATACATTCAAGCCCTGTTGCATAGTTCATAATTGACTTCTCCCCGAAACAATCTACAGTTGTTCTGTTGACCCCATGAAGAAATGTATAAGGGCTTAAAAATAGATTAGCCTCCAATGTAGCTTTTCATTGCAAAAACTTTCTCCAAAATGAAATTTATTACCTATCTCAAAAAATATTATTCACCAAAGAAATTCAATATACTTTATTTACTCATAATATATTTATTTCTAAAATGTGATATTACTTTTAGTCTCGCCATCTGAGAGTTGGTACCCCATGTTGCAGAGACCTGTGTGTGCTGAGACATCATTTCGACCACACCAAGTTAGCACATTGTGACCTGCCCTCATCAAATGTATTGGACCTTTCAGCTGGCTGCCAGCGTTTAGGAAACGTGCTAAAATTACAGCTCCTTGGGTCTGGTCTTGCTATACATACTACTGCCGGAGAGCCAGATCTTACAGGGCTTGATATGCGAACTCTGGCAGAAAAGAATGCTGAGAACGTAAAGTATATTTATGCCTGTATTGTTTTACATGTGATAATGCAGAGAATCAATAGTCATTGCAAATCTTTAGTTGCATAAATATTGAGTTCAAACTGTTTCGCAAGTAGGCTATAGCAAAGTTGAACTTATCTCACAATGTTCTGACCAATGAAAAATGTACATATACATTTCTAGGTCATTTTTGCTTTTTTTTTTTTAAATTCTCAACTATATGAATAATTATAAATTTTTCTTTCCAGTTATTACTTTCCCCCAACACACTTCTCCTCACAGGACCTGATGCTGCTTGCAGTGCTGTAATGGGGGCAGCAGTTGCTGTGGGAGCTCTGGGGCCTGCTCCAATGGCTATGAAATGTTGTGCCCATTGCAGTGGGGAAGTAAAAATGGTGTAAATTTCTTATAGTCTTCCAGATGGCCTGTATCCTGATATCCTAGAACAATTACTGTGCCAAATGATAAACTATCAGTAGAAACTTCACATGAATATTAAAATGTTATATCATGAAGCATTTGTAGTTACATTTGGATAAGATTTGATTGTATTATATCTCAAAATTTAAAAAAATCTCAATTATTCTATTTTTGAAAACAAGATTGTAAAATTTTATACTATTAACTAATTTTTCATAATGTGGATTCAACATTATTCATTTTTCTAAAGTATATGGCCAGATAAATAAATTAGAGCATCAATAATCCAATTTAAAAAATAGACATTATTTAATACTAAATTCATGCCTAAATTTTCTGTTCATAATGGATACTTGATACATGCAATAGTATGGTACAATTGTTTATTTTCTTTGCCTTTAAAAATGTTAAATTTTACTAGAGCAATGGCTTTTTTCCATTTTTGTTGTTTCAGGTTTTATCAAATCCCTTTAACTGATCACTTGGTTTATTTTCAAACTCTGGACTATTTGATAGTCTGAGGGATCTGGTCTCATTTAATCTGAATTATTGATGTTCTACTGTAATTTTTTCATTTAAATGCTTTAAGAGTCTCCCAATTTTTATTAATCAGATGAAATTACAGCAAAGAAGAATTTACATAAAAGTGAACCAATGAGGTTCACACAAAAATTAAATCAAATGCCTAAAATATGATTTCTTCTTCCTTTTATCTTCCACTTCAATTATTAGCTGAAGCAGCAAACCAAGATAACTTAGAATCCTGTGTAGATAATATCGTATTTTGTTATTCTAACCCAAAATGGAAATCTAATTTGAGAAGGTGCCAATCGACAAAACATGTGTCCTGTATTCAGGTTATTTTATTGGTAATGTCTAACTAGCATCAATCATAATACATTTTATGGATCCAACTAAAAATCACTAAGTTCTTTTAAGAAGTTGCAAAGGGGTAAGAACAAAACTATTTACAAATACTATTTTTTATATTTATTGTAATGTTTTATGGTTTATAATAAAAATAAATTCATGCATTTTATCTTCTGAAGGTAATTGTTTTTGTAATTGACCTTAAAATTATTTGTCTAGCAAGTCAGACATCTTGCAAGTTTTCTTGATACACGAGCACCCTAGTCCTCAACCAGCGCTGAATAGCACGGCACACGTTGGGATACTTAGATTCGACTCTGAACAGCATGTACCAATTTGCTATGCAGGCAACAACCACCTCGTACTTTCAAAACAATCTTAGCACATCTCACGGTATGCTTTGGCGAGTTACATTCATGCCCACAGTTGGTACGCCCTTTTAAGCTGTGTCGTAGCCATAGCCCTCCTCTCCCCGCACCACCCGCTGTGGAATATCAAGAAAACTGTGCGTATAGTACAGGACCCAGGACTGTCCATACATATTTACCCCAATAGAAAAAATGTGAGGAGTATTCTTATTTTTTTTTAAACCAATTCAAACTCAAATCTCAAAGGGTCTCATTGGCTAGGAAATTGGCTTGATGAGAAGGCTAAATCTTGTTTCCTTGTGCCTGAAAATCATCATTAACAGTATAGTTTTTGGCACTTTTTGTCGTCTTCACATACATCATTGTTTCTTTCTTTCTGATCATCCTCTTGAAAGATTTGCACATTGAATTTTCTTAATCTTTTATCTGACACATTCGAGTAATATTCCTTCCACGCTACCAAATTTTCTTCTTGGTCTCCAAGTTTTTATCATTAATTTAACACTTGGTTCACTTGAATTCTTGTTGTCCATCATTCGCATTGTGGATCAAGTTGTTAACTGCGAACTACGAAATATTTCTGTACCACAGGAGCATGGGAGAAAGTAAAGTTGCAAACGTTTTGGAAATTTTTTGCTAAGAAAATATTTTTTAAAGTAATTCCAAGGATTAGATGTAGAATGCATATGTGTATCAAGGTGATTTATTTTCATTTTCTCTTGCAAAATGCAAATTCACAAGAGTCTGCATGGCCTCATCTATATATGTGGTGGGTGCCAAGAATATAATTGGGTAGAGTAGATATGACTGATATCGATTTTGCAGCTTATCATTACTCAGTATTTGAGTTTCTTCAGATGTAAAGGCAGTGTAAAAACATAGATCACAACTGACTAGTCTTAATCTGCAACTGTAAGAACTTCATATTTTTAGAATGAGACATTTCAAGAAAAAACTCTCCTTATATCAGGGTAAATGCAATGTTATCGCAGCAACACTCATACAAGTGCCTAAAAAGCATGACTTCTTTCAATTGAAAAATTGACTTACAATAAGGCATTGGATATTAAGGTACTAAAAAAATTACATTTTAGGCACCTAAAAATAATATGTTTCACTCTACTTGCACTTAAAATTAGCCAATATCAAAAAAATAATATAACACGAGAGAATATTAATGAGTCATTAGTCAGTGAGTGCCTTTGCCATCTTCATACGATTGAGTTCATGAGTTACTCCACATGGTGCACGACTCAGACAACTGTGGGCAAAATGAAGACTCATGTTGGAGGTCAGGATCATTGCCTTGCCCCTGCGTCACAAGTGATTCCATTACATCATGAATATGTGTTCAATACTACACAAACATCCAGAGCCCACCTCATGTATCTGTGTGTATGTGTGTTTTGTGTGTAAAGAAATGCGATCTGAAGTCGCTTGTTGGCTACAAAATTAAATGTGCTGTGCAAACTCAAATGACAGCTTGTCTAGAGGCAAAAAAATTAACTTTATTACCAGTAGACAATTATTGTCATTAGTAGAAATGAAAATGGTTGAAACATGCATTTGTATCCAAAACTAGAAAGAAATATTAATAAATTTTACAGAAAAAAGCATTTAAAAAGAAAAATGTCTAAAAAAGCAATTATGTCAAAAGACCAAAAAAAAGGCAAAATAAAAATTTGTCATAATGTTTAATTTTCCAAAATTCTTATACTTATATTAATGGCCTTTAAATGTGTTGATTAGAATAAAACAGGCATTTTCCTTCACATTCAATGTCTAGTTTAAATCAATTCAATCACTTGAACTTGGAAATAATGCAGAATGATTCATGTACTTGCAAAATTAGTTTCAAGTAATTCCTTTGCATATCCTAATTAGTACTCTCAAATCACTCGCTTATTTCCTCATGTAACTCTTAACTTTCTTTTATAATGGAAATCAAACTGAACCTTACAGTATTTTTGTTCTCTTCATAAACAACTTATTTTTTATCATTTCACTCCAAACATTGTGTGAAATTGTTTTTTGTAAAAAAACAACAAAAATACAACAAAATATTATATCAAAAAAAGAAAAGGAGTTCGGTAGTGTTAATGGTGTTTGGTAGTGTACCATAAAGAAAGTAAAAAGCTCACACAAGCATAATTAATCCGAAAGGTCTGCAAGGGTTTCAAGAATACCACAGCATGTTTCATTTCAAGTCCATACACACAGTAACAAACTAGAAAATCATGAAAATTATGATGCACTACACTTTTAAAACACTTTTTGATGTGTTACAGAATGGCACAGACTTTTCCATATTAGTTTTCTATTTCCTTTGGTCTCGGCAAGCTATTCAGAGCTTGTAGTTTTCAAGAAAATGGCTGAGTTTTTGAGAAACTTTATATGACTATTTAAATCACATGTACTCATAAATATAATAATGTGAACTAATAGCCACTAATGTAAATATTAACATGAGAGGTAAGTTAAAAAAAATAGATTTTATAATCCTTGAGAAAACAAAACAATAGTGCAATATGATGTTCATGTCATTATATACAGTGCATTTAATACTACCCCTACCAAAAGATCAAAGAAAAAATTTACAGCCATTTTTGAGAAAATCTTGTTTTTGTAATTTTTAAAAATTGCAAATATTTCATGCAATATTGCTCGAAAACTACAATTTTCAAAAAATATGTACATGACCTTATTGAACGAACTGATTATGAGGAATAAATTTCATTCGAACAAAAAATCTCTATCTTTTATTTTGTAGTTGTAGGAAGAGACCAAAAATAATTCAAAGTTTTGAAATTTTCGAAAATTCGGAGTTAACCATGAAAATTAGACCTATGCCATCTTTATAAGTGTATTTTACTCTATTTGTACAATAATTATTGGTTTTAAATTTTGAACCGTTTTTTAGAATTTTGAAAATGTCTGGAGTACTTTTTGTATAGTATCCCAAAATTTTCAAGAATGTTTTTCAGAATATCAAAGCTTTGACTCAAGCGAGATGGACAGGGTGTTTTTTAATTTGGAAAAAATCCTATGCTTGGTGCATCAGTGCTAGTAGTGTTCACAGACAGAAGGAGATGTTACTTCATATGTACATATGTATATCGAAAAGTAAAACTTTTGTTTTGTTTGTTTTGTTTTCACATAAATAAAGTATTACTGCAATATAAAAATAGCATGGAAACACTTAAATCTGAGAAGAAATGGCATTACATTTGGATAATGCAATTTATTTTCTATTTTGGGTTATAAATAATTAAGGTCCCCAAAATATTTTATTTTGCAGTATTCTTGCTAAATAAATTTGCAAAGAAAAATATTGAATTAATTTACTACTCTTAAGAAATCTTAGATAAATATTATAGAATTAAATTTTAAATTCTTCAAAAACTCTCAAACAATGTAATGATTTACATACTATTTAATATTCATCAATAAATTAGTAAATAACCATCATAAATAACATCACACAAACATGCAACATGCAGCAGATCAATCAAGGCACAGGCATTTGTTTTCAAAATAACTGAGCAATAAATAAAACAAAGCAACTTTGGTAAATTTGATTAACCTAAGTATTTCTCTTTAAAACATGTGTAAATACTGAAATGGCAAATAAAATTTGTTTTAACATGAAAGTTAGACAGTAATTACAGAAAGTAAAGCTTCCCTACAAAGCGACCAGACAATGTATAACAGAATAATAGCTGTACAACAATTCAGTTCTTAAGTTATTACTACACACACTCATACATCAATAGAAACAGGAAATTTAGTTCTTGGATCACCCATGTCTTCAAGCCAACATCTTCAGTATCTTTTACATCTCTCACATTATATGGTACAGTCTTCATTTCACATGCATTTCTTCTTCCATCAGTTTCTTCTATGAGAAAATGTTATACAATGATTAGTGAAATTTGTGAATATGTATACATAAATTAAAATGCAAATCATAAGAAATGTAGTGTCATACATTTCAACATGGCATTTTAATTATTAAATTAACACAATTTTAAAATAAAATGTATTCCTTTATTTCCTTGCACTTTTTAATTGGTTGCAATTTTGCTGAACCTTCCTGTTGTGTTAACAATTTTATTTCATATCTAGTGAATGGGTCTGTTTGACTTGGTTGAGAAAAATTCTTCAGTGTGCTTTTTTGAATTTATATTAATTTATTTCTGTGAACCTAAATAAGAAAGACAATGAAAGCCTTTAGAAATCCCTGATAATAAATGTAAATTCAATGACAAGTACCATTGATATCACAAAACCTAGTGTATGAATAGGTACAAAATATTTACAGGTTTTCTTTAAGATTGTGCTAGTGTCCTTGCGAAGTTTCGTTAAGATTAATACAATACAAATGGCAGGCTGCAGAACTAGTACATAATAAATTGGTGCCTAGTATATTCCGCCAGAGGCCAATAGCAGTGCAGCATAACCTGTACCTAATAGATTTGCTAGAGCCAGAAGTAGTGCGCAAGATACAAATTTTTAATCTGTTAGCAATGTAATGTAAAATAAAATGAAAGAAAATTATAGTTAATTATAGTTTATTATATATATATATATATATATATATATATATATATATATATATATATATATATATATATATATATACTGGATATAAAGAAAGCCTGGGCAGCAGTGGGTATTTTCTAGTTAAGTATAAACAAATTATTTTAAACAATTTTTATCGGACTGCACAAATGCAAAAAAGGAAATGTGTTTGAGTTTGGTTCTTTACACAGAGTAAGTCATTCCAGGTGGGGGGAAAAACAAATGCCTTCCTCGTATTGATAGCAATAAATAAGTCCTTTTCCATTTTGCCCCCAGAAGCACACATAGATTCTGTAATAGTTATTTACGATAAAGGTGGTAAAAGTGACCTTAAGATAAAAGGTCACTTTTACCACGCGAGTAGGAAAGGTTGTGACACAAGGCCAATAGGCTGAGTGGCACAATTCTACAAGCAAAATAAATGCACTTTTCCCACATGTCATACACCATTGTTTAGACAGCCTTGCTGGCATTTTTCCTTTCTGTGCTTTTGTTGTTGCTTTTTGTCCTTTTCATATTTTTTGCTCTTTTCATCCCTTTCGTACTTTTTGTCTTTTTGCTTGTTGTGGTCCTTCTGGTCAGAAGAAAGTATTTTGTTTTCTTTGTTACATTCACAGATTTATCAGAACACTTATTGTCTCACTTTTAGCACGCTATTCATGCACTGAAAGAGCCACTTTTAGTAGTGGCAGTCTAAAAAAAGTGTTTTGTCATTTTCCAGTTTCATCGCAGCTTGTAAATCATCTTAACATTTCCAGTATTGAAAATATTGATATGATATTGAAAATGATATTGTAGACTCAGAAAGACATTTACAAACAGTGAGTGCATGGCAATTCTCACAGCTGACTGGTGAGGGCAGGTCCATGCATTACAAGACAGTCGTAAAATGCAACCCAATTCCATCAGTTCACAAATTTAATTAATTTTCTTCAGCAATACTTATAATTTGCTAAGGTATAACACACCTGTCTGCAATTTGTAGAAGAGAAATCATCAAGGAATTGCTGTGCAGTATGAAGGATTTCTCAGCAAAATTACATAAGAAACATTTGTTCATCTAAGAAGACAGGAGAGGGAGAGAGAGAAAGACAGTGTTTCCTATATTAAATAACCCATACTGTACACGCTCAAAATACTTGACTCTTTGATCCAGCAAGTCAGTTCCATTATGCCCTGAAGTGCCCTTAGCAAAGAGTTCCTGCTTGTAAGTTGAAAAAGAATTTGAATTGAGAGAAAATTATAACCACGTTGCATGCTGCCTATATTTTTAGTAAGAGGTTTCATAATCAGCCTATGTGATTAAGATAACAATTGGTGTCTGGCAGAGATTTCTTTTTAACAACAGCAGTGAAAATATTAAAGCACACTCATAAGTATTTTAATTCAGCTTAACTACTGGCACTGTAACAGCATGTACTTTCATGTATTATTTGTAACGGTCACATTATATTACAATAGTATTTGAAACTGCAAAAAATTTTCCAACTCTTACTTAGGTATAACAAGATTCAAACACACACTCTATTCCAAACACCTCAGCCCACAAAACCTTAACGATTTTAAAAGAAAGTTGAACTGCTGGAACTCATATTTCCAACAAAATTACATTATTTATATATCTAATGTTGAAAAGATTTTACTGAGAAACAAATCTCGTTATCAACATTATAGTTGTAGGAACGTGGTGAACAGTTTTTGAACATTTTAAACGAGAAGAAATAGAGAAAAAATTTGAAGCTGTTTTCAAGAAAATTTTGAAAATGTTTTTGATGGTTCATGTACAGTATCCACAAATATCAAAATATCAGTTTCAAATTTGTAGGATCTCTAGCTCAAACAGATTGATCATGGAATATCAATTTTAGAGAAAATCCCATACATAGTTTAGCATTGTCCTCAGACATTTTCCTGTAAACCAAGTTTAAGTATCAAAGATCCACAAAATGTGGATTCTTGGAAAAAATTCCTTCCAGCTGAAAAATTTAGTTGCACAGAATTTGTGATTGATGAACTTTCAAAATGTGAGTATTTATCCCGGCAATAACCAATACGCAGAAAAAAAAATTGATTTTCCTCTTGAATGTAAGTAGTTTTCGTTGTACAAAAGGGCGTTTTAAGAGCCACTGGATTTTCTGGAATGTATTGCAGACATTAATATTGCTCATTTCTTTTGAATCAGGATGAATCACCCTCGTAATGTCACAAAGAAATCCAACATTAGACACCTATTATTTAGGATTAGGATGCACTATAACTATTGTGGGGTTTCAGGGTTGTTTATTCTTAGTGCATCACATACATTATTTTTGAGATGTGCTTGACATCTATTTTTGAAAATATTTTTAATTGATAGAAAATCACCAATATGTTGTGGGTTACCTACCTACATATTAGCATGAACTTTGACATAATAGTTCCACAAAACATGCTTTAAATTACATCATTCTCTTCACATTTTGGGAGCAAAATTGCATTGTCGATCTTATTTCATTATTCAAAATGAGGATCATTTGTTGTTTCATCTATTGAGGGACTTAAATACTAAGCACACATCACAACATTTTGACACTGATTAGATAACCACATTTCCTTATTCAAGCAAATGGTCTACTTATGTCTACTTGACCCATTCACCATAAGAGTATTCAAATATCAATCAAAATAATGTGTATATTTCATTTAAGGAGAGTAAATTTTAACATGAAATTGAGAATTACAGAAGATTGTCTTATTTAGACAATTCTGTATTTTGTTTACAGTGTAATTTTGTAATGGGCCTCTTCTACCAGTTCACAATAGGAAGGTCTCACTCCCAGAATTCACCCTCACAACCTTCACAACAGTCAAAATTGATGAATTTTATTCTCTTCTCTTTCTAGAACAAAATAGCACAAATCCCTATTCTACCATGCTGTGTTGGTGATACATTTACTCTAATCTGCTTGAAACTGAATTGTACGCCACTCCATTACAAAAATGTTTCCAAAACAGTAACATACCGTATTTACCTAAATACAAGACTAAGGTGTTTGCCTAAGTATTTCAATTGAAAAATTCAGGGTCATCTAATATTCACAGATTAAGCCTAGTAAGTTAAAGATCAATGCTTTTACATGAACAGATAACTCGTGCAAACTCTTAACAATATGCTGTGAAGATGATAAACAACTACACACATCCATCCTATCTCGCTGGCGTATTCTTGGCAGCCTCCGCGATTACGCTGATAAGATATAGGAGATATTCTTAAACAAATGACTTTCTCAAAAGTAAAATGCAACATGAATATAAATAAAAATCATTGCAGACATTTTGATGATTGATAAAGCTGCGTGGTGTTGTCTCTTTGGTGTGAATCTGCATTTTGCAAGAAGGTGAAATATATAAAAATTCAACTGATGCAATTGTACATCGAATCACAGAGGTGGAATGATTTTAAAACTCCAAGGCTAAAAATTCACAACTCTCCCACTCTACCCCCAGTATGGAGATTCAGAGATGTACAAGTCACAATGAACATTAAACAATGTGAATTGCAAGTTGATTGTTGTTAAAGAGCCAAAGGCCCCGAACATGACCATCAGGAATGAAATCTGGTGACACAGAGGAAAAATTCTTAGCTGGCATCCGATAAAAGAGAAAGAACACAAATTCAAGGCGCAAAACATTCAGAGGACCCTCAGAAATCAGAAGAGGGCTTCACATGTGAGGAGGGCCAGAAAGAAACAATGATATATGAAATCTAAAAGTTATAGTAAAAAAAAAAAAATGATGATGAAATGAAAGAAAAAGAAAATAGTGAGAGCTCAGACAAAAAGATTTAATCTCATCCAGACAATTTGTGATTTTATTGTAACTGAATAGTAAGAAGAAGGTCTCTTCAAAATTCAGAGGTTGTCTTATACTTGGGCAAATACGGTAATTGTCTGCTTCCATCCTCATCAGGAAAAGCTGTCATACTTCTGTGGGTTCAAAAGTGTAGCAAGAAAATGAATTTCAATTAGCATTACTTTAAAGAAATTTTTTCATGTGCAAGACCAAATGTGTTTTGGCACATGCCTTAAACAAACCCACATCCACAAATTCACCAAAAAAAAAAAAGTCATTCACATCCATCACTCTCCCTCAAAACACAGGTTTCTATAGTTCATGATTTATTAAAACCACCAATCAATATCTCAAAATTATGAACAAACTCATAATATTCATCACAAATCAAAATTTAACAAAAACATGTACAAAGCTATAGATTTAACATAGCATGAGTAGATATGTTGTATCACTTAATAAGAATCACTTATCAAGTGTACAGTACACTTTCACAATCATAGGAAATCAATTCACATTGCTATCAAACTAAAGCGATGGCAGACCGATGGTTGACAATATCATTGGTCACTCGGAATAATCATAATCATTTGTTGCTATTGAAATTTTCTTCTGTAATACCTGATTTACAAATACTCAAAAAAATTCATTCTTTCTGTGGCAGTAAGCAAAATACAAATGTTAAAACTGACAAACTTCTTTCCATTGTAATCAACAGAAGACCATAAAAAAACATTACTTTGC